GTATAACGTGTGCGTGTCACAAGTAAACCGAGTTTCATTGGTTCGGTTTAAATTAAACGTCATTTTTACAATATCGCGATAAAACGTTTTCTGCTCGTGACTAAAATGATTATAACACCGGTGAAATATTACAATAATATTAATCCAGATTTTTTTTTTATTTATTTTTATTCAAAAAATTGTACTCTTCCGCCGCATACTCTGTTATAGTTTGTTTTTGTTTTTTTTTTTTTTTGTGTATGTGTGTACGTGTGTGTACATATATAATTGAACACGGAAATGAAAAACGTAAACGCGAAAAAAATATACATTTCTATATGTGCGAACAAAATAAATTATCTAATATATTATATTCCCGCAAAAATGCACATTATTTTATATACCTGGTGTGACAATTCAGACTCGTTGTCATCAGGGACGTGTTAACGACTTCATTCGCGTCGACACGATAGATCTTTTTGGTCGATCTCCCCCGCCAAATGCGGCGCAGGAGCGTTAAAAACTAAAATACGATATAATCAGATAACGTTTCGGGCACGTATTCAATTTTGTACATAGCGACGAACATAACAACGTTATCGTGTGTACGAATGTCATCGTTTTCATAGCTTTTAATTTTTTTTTATTTAATATTTAATAAATTACAAAATACAATTAACAATAAATAATAATAGTTTTATCGTGCGAAAACATAATTAGTGTATGTATGAAAAAGTGTTTAGCCCGTTGGCTGTAATGATACGAAGGACGAAGAGGGGAGGAGACCTCGAAGCCGGATTTTCGAAATTACACTATTTCGATAAAATTGGAAATAAACAGTGTGCAGTTTTGGATTTTGGATTTTAGATTCTGAATGGAAGTATGAAGCTTATGGTTTTTATTTTTATTATTATTATATTTTCTGTGTACCACTTTTCTACTAGATTTATTTTCTATCCGATTTTTAAGTTTAGTAACTTTTCTGAAAATAAGCCAAACTGGGGAGGTACCTTAGGGAGGTAATTTTTCGATTTTTCCAGGAGTTTTTCCAACAAATGGTAAAACCGGGTAAAAATATAGGAAAACCCGAACAAATTTTAAATAACAGGAAAGTAGGTACAATATTAAACAAATATTATTAAAGGAAATATATAATGTCTATGTAATTATTTTACCATAATATGGCATGTATATTGTTGACAAACCAATACTATCAATTGAATTCCGCTCAGAATCGTTTTCTCATAAGCAATGGTTTATCATTGCTTACAAATATACATTAAATTTCCCCTTTTCTACCTTGTCAACTTTTCACCTTCAACAGTGGCTCACTCACGTGCGCAGTATATCCGTCATTTTATTAAATATTATTATTGGACGCGAACCTACAACATAAGGGACACTTATATAAACCGGTAATCTTAAAACCTGTAAACATTTGGACAATAAAAACCTAGAATTATTTAAAATTACAGTGAAACCTCTCTTAACAGATTAAATAATAAGGCCCAGGCATAAAGAAAAATATTCCAATGTATTTCGACGTGTCTATAACGGACTCTTTCTATTACAAACACGGACAGTAATACTTTTCGCCAATACCTACATAACAGACAAATATCTCGATTAAAATCAAATATATTGCAACCGTATACAATATACATATAAATACATACCACGCAACAGCGTTTCCGGTCTATCCCGAATACCGATTATGACAGATTACATGTGTGATAATAAGGATAAAGTACGAAAATAACCGAAAACACGTATAAAAATTAATGACTATTCAGTGATTCTTCCGTATCGTTTCGCTGTTACACAGTACAAATCTCGACCATATAAATTTGGACGGTATAAATGTATGGATTACAAAAATCTGAACCGAACAAATCCGTTTTAAGGGTCATAGATAGGCAATATAAATTAAGTTTAACTATTTAGGCAATTATTTGTTCATAAATTCTATTTGTAATTTTGAACCTTTCTGGTGACAGTTGTTTCTACAAAACAATAATTTTCTTAATTAAAGTGAATAACCGTAACTTGATTGAATCAAATCCCTAAAATATCAAAATATATATTTTAATAAAATGAAATTTTGTGCCGTCCCGATTTTTAATTAAAAATGCCAGGTTTGTAACATCTGAATATTTATAGTCTAGGTTTATACAATATATGTAGGTAACTATAATAATAATATTAATTTTTTTTTAAATTTATGTTATATTTCGATACTGTACAACATAGAAATTTTATTAAAATTCATTGGTACCCATGGTTTCCATTTAAATGTAATATGGCAACACCTAAATTTTGTATAGTATCGGGCCAGTTATGATAAATACAATATAATTGAAATAAACAAAGGAAAAAATATGAAATTTTTAGTCGCATAACAGAGTTTCGAGGCGAGGTAAATAAAACTTTAACTTTAGAATAATTAAAACTAAAGGAATCGAAACCATTATAAATATGTATTCTATTTGGCACAGTTTTCAGCGAACAACATCAGAGAGTGAATAAAGTCGTTTTTACTGTAAAGATTATGTAATTCGTTGTTCGAACATGTTTATTACGAGAATAATTGAAACACGGCGAAAATGTATTCTTAAAAGCTCCATTAATCTGTGTGCATTATTTATATCGAACAGAATATGAAACTAAGTATACCAAAGGCTTTTATTGTGTATTTTTTGGGTAGGTTTATGTTATAGCTCTGTTAAATAAACACGAATGTTCGTGCATAGGATCGGTGTTTTTTTTTTTGTCAGTTCCTATACTTGTTACGATTACTTGTTACTTGTTACAATTTATATAAATAAAAAACGACGAAAAAGTAAAAGTTTTTGGTGATTTTAATTTTTTTAATAAAATGCTATGTTTACTATAGCAAACAAACTGTTGACACGGCTCATTAGTCAAACATTATATCTTGATATACCGTTAATGCATTGTTGGCCACAATCTCAAATGTGTACGACATTTTGTTTTTTTAGGACACTACCTTAATGAACAATTTATTCCAGGTTGGAATTTTTTTAAATCAATCATATCGTCATTTATAATTATAATATTATATAATATTGTGTAGTAAAATTTCACTTAAAAATTGTCCGAGGGTAATGGCTCTCCTCCGTTAAGTTGATTGATTAACTCTTATTGCTGCAGAACACTTTTTGAAAACTCTCAAGTCAAGGGGTAAATTTATTATTGAGTTGAAGAATCTAAGCTGTTTACTATACTAAACCGGTGTAGACATTTTGCAGAATAATATTACCATCGCACATATTAAAGTGTAAAACGGTTTTTTGTTTTTTTTATTTATTTACAGATTATTATATTAATATTAAAATCAATTCATAAATTCATAAATTCATAAACAATTAATTTACTAAAGTTTTTAATTTTCTGTTTACTAAAATATTATATAAATTCAATAGTTTGATATTTGAATGATTTTAATAATATTGTGACCCATTATCCACACTCCTGTTTATTAAAATAAATAATGGACTAATATCATGCAAAAAAAATAAACAGGAACAGAAGCCTCCAAACTCAGACAAGTTCTTCTTAATACAATACATACTTTTTTATAATCAATATTATAGAAGTGCTTAACTCCTCTAAAATATTTGGGCTATTAGTGCATATGGTGCAGAATCCATTTTAACTTCTAGGGATAGATTATCTTCTTCTTCTTTCTGAAATCACAACTCTTTATATGTTTTTACTGCCACCAAATATGTACTTTCTAACTCGCAATTTTGTACTCTGATTCATGCAAAATTAATTTCGTTTTACTCCATCCATCATCCATTGTTTCTTTGGGCATTCTAAAAGTTTATTTCCAGTTAACTGCCACCTTTGGGTATACTAATTCCAGTCTCATCATTACGTATGAAAACTATTTGATTCTCTGTGCTTTCACAAAATGTGTGATCTTCGGTATTTCTATCATTTCCCCAGTCTCCTGCTTTGTTTTTTCTACAAAACCACTAACTCTCGGTATGTAGACATTATAATTGTTATATAATATAATATTGTTATATATGTAGTTTAAATTTTTAATGGATCGAAGAATCTTACGGTTTTACAAAGATGTTTATTTTTTTTTCTTTTATGTGAACACTTTCTAACAGACAGCTTACTCAAATTTTTAAGTATAGCACCTTTTCTAAAAGAAAATCGGTGTGAGGAAGTACTTCAGGTAGGTCATTTTTGATTTTCTGAAGAATTTTCTCATCAAATGTGAACAACCGGGAAAAAATATCGGGGAAACCAGAAAAAAAGTAGGTAAAATGGGAAAATCGTTACGACATTAAACAAATATTATTAAAGAAAATATATTTACTACAATATGACATATATATTGTTAACAAAACATCATTATCAACTGAACTCCGATCAGAATCGTATTTTTCGTTAACTACGGTTTATCATTGCTTACAGGTATACATTAAACAACCTATTACAGTGGCTGCACCCATCCCCTTTATCCTAGAACGTCTTTTATTACTTTTTTTTTTTTTTATAAATAATTAGTGTATATTATGTTTTTCTTTTTGTATTAATAAATAATTTCAATTATATGTATGTATTCATTAATATGTAATTTGTATTAATAAATATATAAAATCAATTTTTCAACAAATTTATATGTTCTTTTTTTTATCTCTGTTTATTAGAACAACCGCTTTATTGGGACAAAATAACACGCAATCGATGTGTCCCAATAAAACGGAGCTAACTGTAATTTGCAAACAGAATTTCAATTATTATTACAATATTTCGATTAAGCCGTAATGGATTATAACTCAATAGAAATAATCCTATATCCGACGTAATAGTTATATATTATAAACTTTTTTTTTAGTTTTCAACGTCACGCGTCGTATAAATAAATAAATATAGTGTAACCAAAACTTACGAAATTAAAGTCCCGTCTTATCTTTAATTGCCAGACTAAAAACGAACGATTTTCGTTTATTTTACTGTATAGTTATAAAATTAACATTACGCCTCTATAATAGCAATTATACGCGGTGACAACGTAACCTAACAAATGATCGAAAATATTCTAAGAAAAAGCACCTACGTTGTGTTTTAGAGTTCTAAACAGGGTGCGTCGCAATTGCAAGAACCGCGATCGTAATCGTCATCATAATGATAATAATAATAATGCCACAGCACAATGAAAATGTCGGCCGTGGGGTGCCTTTGAAAATTATGGGCGGTTTCAATGTAACATTTGTTGACTTTGAATGATCGAGGCCACCGTGTACGCGCAGCTCGTGACAAATTGTCCTCGGCAATAGGATCTCTCGGCTATCCTTCTCCCGCCCATCACCACTGACATACCCCTTCGATCAACACTTCTTCTCACCTCGTCGCCGTATTATATACACGGTCACTCCGTACCTACCTATTGTAAAGTATATTAATGGCGTCTCGGTTAATTATTTCGGAAAATTGAAATCGACGTCGTCGGCCGTTAGAATCGTCATTAATCATACAACGATTATTGTGCAGACAGTTTTGAAAGCAATATAGTAATGTGAGTAACACGCGTAAAATAGAAGAAAAAATATTCGAACCTACGGAAATATAATTGATAGGTACCAATTAGGTATATATATATATATATTTTTTCCGATAAATAAAATACAATAAATTACAATGTTGCTTGGCATATTTTTAATAATATTAACTTTAATCGTAAATATTGATATGAAGCATATAATTTTAGATTCCCATTGAACCGAAAAACAATTTCATAGTTTAACTATAAGTGTTTTTTTTTTTTTTCGGATGCTAAAAATGATCCAATATTTTCATGACACACCTTAAACAATGCAAATTTCTTAACCGTTGATTATTTTATATTCCCAAGAGTTTTTCTAAAGCTTGAAAAATCAACAATAAACATGGATACATTGGTTTTATTTTTTTATTTCTGAGTTTCGAGATTAAATAGCACAACTACGAGCAGAATAGATTTTAAATTGCATTAACTTATCGTTGTTTTATAAATATATTTTCATTTACCAAATTCCCACTTACATTAGACTACACATTGTAGAATGTATGATCTACTTTTTTTAAATATTCACTGTTCAAAAGTCGAAACATTTATATATATGACTTTTTATTTTGACTAAATATAATGTTACTGAGTTAATACCTACCCAAAAATACGAAAACAGAGTAACAATATTGATAATCAGCTTAATCCTTAGCTTTAGCGACGATGATATCCTTTATTTTTTATGTTTTGTATGTAATTCTATTATTTTATAGTAATGTTTCATATAAACTACTGGATGGAAGTTAAAAAAAAAAATTAAATTTTAATTAATAATTCTATTGTACGAAACTTTGGGTACACCTATGTATACACTCGAACTAATTGTCATTATTAAAATTAAAATTAATTAACTGGCTTATAAATTCAAGAATATAATTTTTAAACAAAAAGTTTATTATATTTATTATGAATTATAACTATACTATATAATCATCCGAATGTTATTTTATTGACCTAAACTTATTTGTTGTACTTATATTACCTATTTATTTTTTCCGTTTTCGTTATATTTATAAATTTATTATTATATACCAACGTAAAAATCTTAAAATTCGATTTTATAAAATAACTGATTTGCATATTATTATATTTTAAAGCAATAAATAAAATTTGCATGCGCCTACGATCGCTTTTGTTGCTAACTTCAACTCTGTCCTTTGACTTTGGGCTACCCAATATTGTCGACGTTTACCTTCTGAATTACCTAGCTAAACTTACCGATTCCACCTCTTTGTCTTCCACCAACAAGATCAACAGCCCATTGCCATCAGCGAAAACCAAGCGTACCTGCTACTTAAAGCTCATCATAGAGCGTTTAAAATACAGATAAACTTTAATTAAATTTAACTAATGTCTATAATATAAATTTCGGAAAAGGAGTTGTCCAGACACCACGTTCCTCCTTGTATACATGGCTGTGCATTAGTAAGATTAATTTTAGAATTTGGGTCTGTAGTGTGGAACTTTTCTCAGTGCGGACAAGTTAACAAATTTAAAAACCAATGAAGTTGCTTTGTTCACATGCTTGGGTACCAAAGAGAGTTTAGAAATACATCAACCTCTAATATGGCTAACCATACTGGCTATAATCGTTGATTATAATTTAATCACTGTTTAATCACGCACTATAAAATTGGCCCTTAGTCACTTTAGCTAAGTATGTAGCTTGTAGATGTAGATCTCCCGATGTAGTATTTGTATATAAATTATTAAATGGTAATATAAACTGTCCTAAATTTGTATCTCTTGGAGGATTATAGGAATAATTTATGTTTCCGCGTCCCTTCCACTTGTAAAGAATGCGTTAACAGTTGTAATCCAATATGTCGGTCGCATAAGTCTTATGCGGAATTCAAAACTTTAAATTTTAATCATGATTTAATTTTTAAATTGAACGTGCTTTTGTTAAATTTAATCTAATTATTTGTTTCGTTGCCTGTTAATTTATAAATATGTATAACACTCAACAACCATTGTATCATCCATTGCAGATAAACTGTTATATTATTAACAAATAAATAAATAATATATGAATCAATCATTTATACTACATAATTACTGCGGGTTATTCTTACAACACTATATTATTAAAATAGACAGAATTTACTATTCGCCGACTTTGGAAAACAAATGGTTTCATAGATCAACTCGAATGAATTATACGACCTACCTATATACGAAATTAGGTTATGGGATTTTTCACCACCCATCATCCCTTTAAATTGCCTTAGTTAGAAAAACTTGTTAGTTCGAAGTGTGCAGCTGCAGTATATCAAAAATAAAAGACATATAATATAGACACGCGCGGTACGCTTGCTCCGTAAAATCTGTTATAACTTTATTTGAAATTCCAACGCCAAGAAAAACAAAAAATTTATCACATTACATTCCGTTTAATTTTGTTTATAATTTTAATGGACATACTTAGAACTAGTGAAGGCACTACCGAATAGTAAATATTATTGATAGTTAAGACGATCTTTCAAATTCGTTCATTCGAATAGCGAACGGTTTTTAACCTGTCGACATTTTCGAATGTGCAGATCAATTACAATATAGATAACAAACAGTCCACGATAATAACTGTTTGGTTCCCCCATCACCGCTTAAAACAACCGCATTGACGACGACGTAAAAGTTTTTCAGAAATAAAAAATTAAATGTGTATTGAATTTTCTCAGCGTTTCTTACTCAAAACCAAGAAAAAAAAAAAATAATTTTTCCACGTCTTATTCTCTCGTATAATCTCCCGTCGTCGTTATAATATTATTATGTACTTATATGGATAATATAAATATACGTAATATTATTATTATGACGTTGGACCAAGGCCCAATGCCTTACAATAACATCGACCCATACGATGAAAATGGCGTGTATATTATGTAGGTGTGGCGGCGAGACGCCTCACCCGCCACCTCGCGGATAATAACGTTGCGGATACGTTCTATAATCTCTCGGACAGAAATAAAACAAAAGCCTCTCCTATTTTTCGTTTTTGGCCTATCGTTTGCCCGCGGCCCTTTAAAATAATAATATTCCGAATGCTTCTCGGTCTCGCGTCAGCATGACTACTCCACGACCGTTTGCCGTATTATCATGTCTATAAATAATATAACACGCGGTTATATTTTATTATAATATTATGTACGTGGCGGTGTGATGTCTCTTTATACTAGTGACATTATAACATTATCATTATTATTATTATGTTCGTGTATACAATTCTCGTGCCAACCGCCGCCGTCGGTCAGTTAATTAACGTCTTAATTGAAACTCGTTATACACATGTTAGTTTAAAAAAGTGTTTTTATTTTTTGTCTTCGTGACATTTCAATAACAGCGTGGTGGATGGCGAGCGGCGCCAAAATAAACCGGGAAATTATCTCGATTATATCAAATAAATTAAAACCAATCTGTTTTATTTCACAAACAAACTCACACAAACACGCAAAAAATATTATGTGTTAAACATGTGATTTTTATGCGTATAGTATAATCTACGTAAGTACCGGTACGAGTGATTTACAAACTTGTAATAGTTATTATTTTTTTAAATATTTTGAGTAAAATGAATACTCCGGATATTATTTTAAAATGTGTTTAGAGAATACGTGTTTGAATATTTCATTAGAGAAAATATATTTGAATACTAATAAAAATAGACACTTTTAAAAAGTATTTACACGTACTTTTAATACTTAACCTACGATTATTCGTGTACCAAGTAGAATCGTTGCCGTCGGTATTAGTTTTTATTTTGTATATACCTAATACCGTATCAAACGGATATTATTATAATAATATACTATAAAACCGTGATAGTAGAAACATTGAATGATCGGAAAATGTTCACCGAATGTATAATATTTATGTCGATTTTTTTTTTTTTAAATTATCAATACATTTTGAAAAAAATATACTGAATGTGGAAATCAATTTTAAAAATGATAAAACTATTAGAAAATAAGAATTCGAGTCTTTTAGACAATATTTAAATAATACATTATGCCGAGTAATTTTCATAGAAAAATTATTATTTGAAATATGAATTCAAATACTTCTAAAATATCCGAACATTCGTAAACAGAAAGTTTTACAAATCTGGTGATTTAAAAATATTTAAAGAAGTTTTACATTGTTTATTTTTCCATATTTTATTGTGTATTTAGGTACCATTAATCTATATGGATAATTTCAATCAATATAATTTAAATCACAATTATACTAATACAGAATAGCACTGTCTAACTCCTACAAACTCTAGTAAAAAACTTTTGCGGATTATAAATTCAGAAAACTATGGATAATATTTTCAGTATCACGAACGATTAGTCATTTAGTATTTCATTTAACTCCGCTAGCAGCGGTCTTGATAAAATGAATAAGTTCATTGTGTTGCAATACTTTTTGTGCGATCATAATGAAATAATACGTGCATATTATACGAAAATCATGTTTCATTAATATTATCCAAAGTTAATTATTTTATGCTGGTATTTTACGATTTATTTCAACTTAAAAGTGCAGATTTTACCTGATTCGTTTTCAAAATACAGTAGCCACACGAGTACACGAACTGAACTAATTTTAAAACACGTATCAAACTCTAAATCAGATACCTGAAAACAAAAAAACCAAATTGAATTAAAATACATATGATATATAAGTATTCATCTTCTATACACTTTACAAATAAACAACAATAACATAATATAATATTCAGTCGGGCAATATTTTTTAATCATCACTGCAGAATGCAAATAAATGTGTTTATTAAATTCAACAATACAATGTTAGACTTAAACTATAATGAACAAATATTATTCTGAAGTGATGTTCTAAGATATCACGTAGGTACTACGGTAGATACCTATTCTTTATACAAATTGTAGCTTCGTGTTTTCACGAAATTGGAGAGAGCACGTGCTGGAGTTGATTAGGTATTTACAAAACAAACATGTGCATAATATTTTATCTTGAGTATGACTATACATCTCGGGTTTAACATACTATGCTATTCTATTTTTTTACAAAAAATATCATCGACGAAATTCGAATCAAAAATAAATCACTACACAAAATGTCTAAGCTTCTAATGCACCAAATCATTATTGATTATCTATTCAATTTATTTATAATAATTATTTAATTATATCGACAATTGTTAACAAACAAATGTTTATTCCGTCAAATTTAAAAAAAAAAAAACCATACATATTTATTTTGTATTTGTAATAATAATATTTCAATTTAATGCCTACAAAATCATTTTAAAAATATTAATATTTTTGGAAGGTCGCTGCTAAACGGTTAATAATTACCATTTCTGATAAACAACCGAAAATCACAAAAATTGTTTCATATATAAAATAAAAATGTTATTTGTTATAAAAAGACAGAAAATCAGACTTTTTATTACCAGACATGCTTCTAAACTCTACGATATTAATGGTGTCAATGAAATTCAAATTATAAATGGTATTTTAATTTGAATTCAGTACTATGCCCGTGCGTCTTACATATACAAAGAAAATAGAGGTTCATTAAAAAACAGAGAAAAAAAAAGAAGCAATTTATATTTGAGTTCTTATAATAATATAAGTAATTCTACACCGGGAATTAAATTCGATACAAGCATCTACAAAGATATACGAAAATACCCAAAGGAGGGCATTAATTAGATAAAAGGCTAATTTTGTTAAACTTTTTTAAACTTTTCTAGTTAAGTAATTTGATCATTAACTGAACTAGTCCATGTCTTCGTAACATAAACTTAACTTTTTACAGTTCATTTTCACGAATAACCAGTTAAATTAACGAATTTAAGACTAATACTTTTATTCGAAATTCAAAACTCAATTTGAATTGCCCAACCTCAATACTGCGATTTATGTATACATTATATTATACCGTATACACTATGTACAATATTATATGTAATACCATTTTAGTCCATTTACATACAGCTCCAGATTATTTTGAAATTTGTTTTATTATCACGTCATGTCAGAGTCGATTGATTCCTCTTTCTACTTTTTTAATCGGTCTCGCTATTAGAGGTTCACATATTCCAAAGAAATTTTATCTTGATTTAAGATTTAAGTCGCTTCAGGGATGCTACTTGTCTATTCATCCGGTGCAGATCATCTACTATATGTTTTGTTATTTCCTCTCTAATGCACACTCCTTATCTGATGTTTGGCGGGATGATTCCATTCATTATGTTTAATTTTGATATTGTAATGGGTTACAAGTATTATGTTATTATACAGGTTACTTCATTCAACGCTGTATCTATCTCATTTGCATGTAATAATCGATTCCAACAGGGCACACATACTCCTCTGTCGAGAAGCATAATACTAATAAGGTGACTTTCCGTAGAGTATGGAAATCTGCTCACTGACCATAATTTCGTATTAGACTATATTTTAGTTATTTCTCACGTGTAAACGGGTAAATCTCGTAAAACTTGGGACAACACAACCATAACCTAAGATATTCCTAGCTATGGAGAACTGCACATGAATTTACAACACTTGTTTTTTTTTATACCAAACAAAAAAAAAAAATGTTTTTAAATGAGTTAAATTAAAAAAATTTTAGATTTAGTGCGTAGCCAGGGTTTTACTATGATTTTTTTTTTTTTTTTTTTTTATTGTGTCTGTAAGAAAATTCTCTACAAGAAAATTGCTCTGAACTATAAAGTTTAACACCTTTTCTAAAAGGTAATTTTATCTAGTTGGTTTATTTATGCGGTGTATTAAGATTGATTTTCAGGGAAAACTGAGATTAATTAAGAGGGTTAGGTTAGTGGCTTGTGGATGGCACTCTCACAAAAAAATTGTATTCCCCCCCCATATAGTATTGACCTAGATACGCGCATAGGCTAGTGAAGAATATACCTACATATACATTTAATATCACGCGATAATTACAAATTAAATCTGAATGATAAATATGAAATATGATAAGCCAAATCGTAACCTGTACTAAAATATTTAATTGATTTTTTATCTAAAATATTCGTTTATTAAAATATAAAAAAAAAACAAAAACAGTCGTCGTAGAAAAAAATTAATCGATTAGTTCCTCGCGCTTGTGTGGGAAATTAACCTTTCGGATTTCGAGTACTTTCGCAGTGTAAACATAATAACTAGGTCTTCCGCGTATAATACGCAGGAAACGTCGCAATCGGAAAAGGTGAATGTTTACTCCAACCCAGAATAGGTCAAGCGAAGGGAAAAGAACGAGACGATACACGTAAAGCGAGTGTTTAGGGGATGCTGATTCAGAGAGACAAGACCTTTAGGTCCGTTTGGATAACGGCCAACATGTGTGTGTATACCTTTATACGTTTTGGGCACCCTACCATTTCTGTATGTATTTATGTGTGTGTGTGTGTGTGTGTGTATGTGTGTGTATGCGTCTGAAAAAGATGTGACGCTAGTGGTTTGGCGAACAGTTACAGCAACGGATAAATTAATCTGTGGCGGTTGATGGTAAGCTAAGAAAGCACAGTACGTAACACAATTTTCTAAACAGATTTTAAGTCTCTACGAATATTTTAAACTGAATTATAATAAAAAAAAAAAAAATTGAAAAACAAATGAATTTTTTTTTTTTGATTTTCCCGTGCATACTTTATTTTTTTTTAGTTTTGCTCAACTATTAAAAAACTACAGGAAAAATCAAAAAACATTTTTGTTACCTACCAACTACATTCAAAAAAAAAATTACTTGTTATTTTTCTATTCGAACAATATTTCTGGTAGAAAACATAGTTTACAAAAATTAAAAAGAATGAAATTGGTTAATTTTAATGAATTCTGTTTTGATAAAATGGTAACACTGCGAACGTCGTTTTCCGTATAATACAATCGTAACATTACGTTAAAATATGAGGTCAATAAAGATATTGTTGTGCTGCTGTACGTAGAATTATAATAATATTGTAGCCAATTTACAAAATCGATGATTTAAATTTGAAACATTTTTATTTTCGAAAATTTAAGTACTTTTTGTAAAAAAATTATTTAAAACAACGAAATTTCTTTAACAAAAACATTATAACTTAAGTCCGGGTTTTTATGGTTTGACATATCATTACTGAGTATATTATTAAACAGTTTTATAAAAATAAAAAACGTGGATGATTCATTCAACGCCGAGTTTACAGGGAAAATTACTTTTTTTACATATTAAGAATTTTTTAGCGATTAAAATTATTATTTTGGAATGTTTTGTACATTTTGAGGAAAATATAATAATTTACTGAAATTTTAGATTATTAGTAATATTATTGATTTTAATTTTAAAATACTTGTGGTTTTTGTTTTAAAACTATTTACTAATCCTTCTATTTCTATTTTTACATACCAAACATTTAAAAAAAACTTGGGAAAAATTATTTAAGGGATATCAATTCTTCAATAATTCTTTTTAACCTAAATTCACCTTTAAAAATACGACGATAAAACCTTGATAAAAACTTTCAACTAACATTTAATGACATATGATAAGCCTGTACAGATACATAGTTTTTAAGTAGTCTTACACAAAATGAGATACCATGAATAATACATTTACAAGGTATTATGGAAAGTTGAATGAAATGGAAAAGTTTTGAACGGTATTTCAATGGAAAGAATATTCATACAGGCATTATTCGAATTTCATCGTACAGAATCTGTCCTATTTATTATGTTCTCCAAAAATATTTTAATATACAAAAACGGCATTTTATATTATGATAAATTTGTTTGTCTATCATTTAATCTCGTAAATTAGGTAAATTTAAATACATCCAATTTATCTATAATGTACGATTATTTATAAACTCCCGTAGTAGGTGTATACAAATTTAAAATTTCTATTACTTTTTTGACAATATCGTTGTCATTCTATTTCTATAAGATTTTCTTTCTTTCGCTACCATTTAAATATTGCATTATTACCTTTGCGTTTGAAAATGTGTCAAAGACAAAAGTTTAATCAATGTCAGAAATGTAAAGCTTTGATATGTATTTTTATTTGTTAGTGAAAAAAACTTGCATTATTGAATGGAATACCAAACAAAATGGAAAGCCTCGCATTAATTTTAAAAAGTCAAAAAAACTTTATAAAACAGTGAACAAATGTAAAAACGATTCAGAGTCAAACTCAATTTTCTACATTAAATATTTGAATTATTTTTCAAATTATACTGGTCTTTAAAACAACAACTATTCATATTGTTTTCTAGATTTTTAAATACACGATTGAAACTGTAGGTACTGATGGATAAGTGTTTTATTGATATTAAGAAATTCGTCCATTTTGGATTAAAAATCTTGGCTCAATTTACGTCAAAGATTTCGATATTATATTCTATATGTACACACGACAATATATTATATTGCATTATACTATTATGTATTCGTGCATTACGTTTGCCATTGAATTCGAACTTAAATTCGCGTTTTACAACGAAATGTATAATAATAAACTAGATGCATGTACAAATATAAAAAGTATATAGGCACCACAATATAACATTATTACACTTTCCTGAACGGTATATCATTCTAGAGTTTATCATATTGTCAGAAAAATTACAATATGTGACATTAGTGAGTTCCAAAACAAAATTGTATGGGCACCAAGGAAGAAAAATCGCAGATATTTATATGTGTATAAATATTTTGCCCCTTTTTACCGGGTGTTACGAAATAAATTGATGTTTTATTCCGACGGCCACATAAATAAAACGTCACGCCGAAGAGCTAAGATTTATTATGCGAAATATCATATAATATCGAAATGCACATTTCAAAATAGGCAAATATCCAAAATGATTGGCCAAAACAAATTGACATTTCGCGTTACGAAAACGAATGCGCGGTTGATTATTATAAAATACTATACAAGAAAATAACCCACGACTACCCCAAAATGACAGTATGAGTAATAAACGTGAAAATTAAAGATATACTTGTTACTTTTGATTTATTAGCAGCGAAACTCATTTCATATATAGATACTGTATTTAATTTTTCGTATTTTACTAAAGTGTCTACTGATAATTAAACAAAAATATGTGTTCTACAATTTTCGAATATATATACAATTATATGTATTTTATTATATAGATCTAATCTAAAAGAATTTGTATTTTGGTGATTAACCTGGTTATATTCGCTATCAGACATGGTTATATGATATTGGTTAATAGTTATAGATTCAAGAAAATAAACATGTTTATTACGATTATTAAAAATAATGTTAATTGATAGTATAATTGTATTTCTTAAGCCTTTGCATAAATTTATTATTTAATTATTATTGTATTGACTGTTTTACTTTTTTCACAAATTCAAACATGTATCAATAGAAGAACAAATTATAATAAACGGTTTACACAATCTGCAAATACATGCTTTTTGGAACTTAAGTAACTATCATTTGTTTCAGTTACTGAATATGGTTTTTATTTATACATAACTAAGCCTTTAATTTAAACATTACACAAAAAGTTGTCACTTGAATACATTTTCAGGCCCTTACCAATACGAAATTCAAAAATGTTCCCACTTATTTTAATATTACTTTAATTATATGAAACGGAATCAAAAACCAAGAAATTGAATTAAGAATTATTATCGTAAAAATATGAAAGAAAAAGTACTGACTGAATATTTATAATCATTACTTTATCCACAACTAAACATCATAACCGTTCTTTTTGACTGTTTATGATATTTCAGTAACCTGTAATCAAAAATTATAACCAAAGTAATAATTAAAAACTACTTTTTTTTATAAAATATATTTACATTCGGTTATTCCCCGTAAAACGCCTTTTATGTTTCAATTGTCAGACAGATAAGATAATATAAAAAATGATGAGACCAACACGCTCGCAGAAGTGAAGTTTCTGTTATTTTTATATTCCATACAGTTACTTCCAGTAAGAAAAATACCACACAAAACACAAACCATAATACTTTAAAGAAATATAACTTTGAAGTAAAAAATAAATGGCTTCGAAAAAAAATAAAATAAATAAAACAACATGCCCACCTATTATTTATTAGTATCCTGCAGCAACTCAAATCCGTTTGATAAATCCCAAAAAAATTGTATTTGTTTATTTTCATAGAGTATAAATATATTTGTAAAAAAAACCGCTTTGGTTTTCGTATACAAGTGGCTGAGTCAACATACGTTTTGTGATATTATATAAACACACGTAGAAAAAAAATCATACCACCTATACAATAGGAAAAAAAAAAAAATAAAAAGAACTTTGCAATTCATTTATGCATACAGAAGCCATTCTTTACAATTGCACCTTTAATGGCAAACGAGAAAAGAAACATTTTTACACGAGAATAAAGAAAATGTCTTATTTCGTTTTTTTTTTTTTTTGGATACACAAACATTCAAGTTAAAATGTTCAAATGCACAATATTATCCGGAATTGTATATAATAGTCTGATTTTCATTGAATAAATTGAGTGACATTATTTTTCGGATTACCCCAACGACGTTCATAATAATTTGAATAAGCTGTCTACGAATAATAATTAACTATTTGGTTAAATAAACCACTCGCATACGATAAAATAATAAAATTTAAAAAAAACCTTTCAAAAGATTTGATATTTAAAGAAAGTATTTACAATAAACAAAAAAACAAAATATATTTTTTTGTCCACCATACTATAATTGTATTTATAGAAGGAGCTTTTTGCACACCACTGTTTAAATATTCGAACGTTTGCAGTCTGACAGTATATTATAATATTATTAAATATAAAAATATTTAGGTATATAATGATTTAGTAAACAAATTACTATTTATCTGTGCTGTAACCGGAGGGAAGGACACTGGAGGTACGTGCCTCCCAAACTCTCCCAGGACCATCCTTAGAGAGGTGGAGTAAAGGAGGCAACACTGCCCTAGGGTCCCGGAGACGCCACAAATTGATTGATTTGTGTATTTGGCCATTCAATAAAATAGCTGTTATAATAATAAAAATTATTAGTGCCCCCAAAATGTCCCGGCGGGCCATGTGCCTAATTAAAAAAAAAATAATTTATTTGAGATATTTGTGTTATTATTAAGAGGACGGTTATGCCAGCATCTACGGTATCAGTTCAACTGACGGGCAATGTAGCAAATTCATATAGGTACCTTACACATACTGAGTGAAACTCACTTTAATTTTGATTTTAATGTAAAAACACCTACTATAAAATTAAATTAGGACATTATTCCGGAAGGCGAGACGTTTCTTTTTTTAAAATATTACAGTCATTTAAAAACGACGAATATTAGGTCTTTATTAATTTTAAACGATTTATTGGACGTTATATTCGGAATGTTAGTTAAAATAATATGAAAAACGTACCCTCCGGAATATTATCCTCTTTTTATATTATAATAGGTACTTTTACTCTAAAATCAAAATTAAGCTAGTTTTACTTATTCGGCGTCAGCATTATGTTTGCATGTTACGCGATAGTTGAGACTGAGACATCACGTATGACGTCCTCTTAAGGATAATAATCAATATAAAATTGTATTCATAATATAATTGGTAAACGGATAGAAAATAATTGTGTTTACACACGGATATAATAATATTTGCCGTCGCTTTTCTCTTATGTTTGTGTAGTTCTATGGTATTGAAATTTCGATTTAAAATGCTATTACTGTGCGATTGCCATTTCGCCGCGTTCACGTATTTGCCAACGATGGGTTAAGATTAATTAATTCGCCAGGAAATCCTTCGGATCATTATCGCGAAAGAATTTCACCGTGCAGACTGTAGAACATAGTATTATCGTGTAAGTTTTGGAATCTTTATCCGGTCGGGTATTTAAATATAGATTTCTCGGAAGTCTTCGGCAGGAAGACTGAAGGTCGACAAACTTCGGGTTATAAAGGTGAACATGACGTACGTATTATATAGTCCGTTTCTGCGTTAATATTATATTAGTATGTTTTACATTTTGTCGTTTCGTTTCTTAGAACAATTAATATATACGAACAATAACGATTTCTAAAAATAGATACAAATAAATTAAAAGTTACATATATGTATAAAAAGTTATAGGTAGGTGCTTCTTGGAAAACTGTCCCACGGATATCGACCCTGAAGATGGGCCAACAATGGGTATACTTTGTGTCGGTATTCAACCGCTGAGGGAAAAAAAAAACAAGACATCGTATTATCATTTTGAACTATTCGAATTCGCAGTCATGTAAATTTACCAGTAGTTTATTTTAAGACATTCGGTAAACTATTAATTTTCCACGGTAATATTTGAAAATTGATTTATCTTTTGAATATATTTTTAAATATTATTTATATTATTTATTATTGTTAATATTTTTTAAATATAAAATACCTATAGCCAGATATTATAAACTATAACTGTGTTTCCCTTCTTGTAATCCTGTATAATGCATTCTAATTTGTAATCATTTTAGGTATACAAAATTTGTATTACAGATATAGTTATTATTTTTTTTTCCATGCCAAGAACTATGAATTATCTAATAACAATATTAATGTTTATTAAACTAAAACAATTTAAAAAAAGACGGACATGCTTCGCACGCGGGTGCAGCCACTGTTGTAGGCATTTTGGTGGAAAGGTAGGATATAAAAGAGAATTTTATGTACATCAGAAAGCAACGATAAACCATTGCTAACGAAAAAAAATATTCTGAGCGGAACTTAATTTATAGTGATGCTTTGTTAAAATTTTTTTTTTTGAAAAAAAGTTGTCATTTTTGTTACATTTGATTATGGACGGCAGATTTCGATAATTTGCTCCGATAATTATTTTTATGAAAATGTTTAAAATAATATCATTGAATACATAATATAATCAATGGTATTAAAATATGGTTTAAGTTCCTATTATATGGTACTATATAATATGCAGTTCTAACCAATAATATTACTTTTTATATTATAATATACCTTATGTATTGTACCTAAAATACATATATTGCTCTTTTTTCCTAAACTCGTCAACAATATATATGACATATTATTTTTAAATAATTAAATAAGCACTAGATATTTTCTTTAATTATATTTGTTTAATATTTTACCGATTTTCCCATTTTTTCTACGTTTTTCCCGGTTTTTCAAATTTCCTGGGAAAATTCGTAGGAAAATCGAAAAATGATCTCTTTAAAGTACCTCCCCTGTCAATTTTTTTAGNCACATAAAAAAATTAAAAAATAAACATCTTTGTAAAACCAATACATTCTTTGCTACACTCATAATCTAATAAATTACTCGTACAGTAATACAGTAATTTATATCTATTACTTTCCTTTACTTTACCAAAGTAATATCTCCGATCCACTGTCAGGCCTGCGCCACACATTAAAACGGCTAAACCACCGCGTTGCTTATTTACATGAAAAAAATTTGTCAATTAAGTTAAGTGTTGAATATTATAATTTATGAAAATCTGGAGATTGAACAATATACGTCTGTGGCTACTCTAGATCTAGTTCTCAGTGATTTTTTCGGTCTCGGTATGCCCCCGCTGACGGTGAAAAGTAATCGAGACATAATAATTAATAAATTAAAAATCTAAACAAAATTAGTATATAAAGATGTACACAATAATACTTCGTAATAATATATTCGATAACGTTTTGATTTGAATGTCTATAAAATGTCGAGAACGTTTTAAAAATCTACAACAAGATGTAAAGCTAAACTAAAAAAAAAGTCATAAACCCTCCGTATTATAGCCAATAAGCACCGTAAAATATTTCATAGGAAACTCTGCTGCTCATAATAATCGTTTTCGAAATATTGCAATGACTTATCGTTTTCGAGGTTTAAAAAGGTTATAAAATTATACGGGACCTGCGACCCGTATAATCAATACAATCATTATGTAGTTTTGACTACATTTCAAAAACGACCGCTGGCTGAATCAAAAATGATAGCCAATACCCAAAAAAACTATAAGTATTATTTTCAGTCCTGGATTTACAAAAAAAAAAAAAAAAGCGGAACCCTCTTGGAAAATGTTCTATATTTATCAAAAAATATTACATCCGTCCGGTTAAGTAAATTTATTTTTAAACCGATGTATATAATTCGTTTATACGTTTCAACTCGTAGATGACCCAGAAAAAAAATTTGACGGATTTTGACTATTCGTTTAAATTGTATTTAAAGTCTAAAAATAAAGGAGCACATCGATAATTATATTATATTTTAATATTGAATACTCATCTAACTTTGCACTTCTCGGTTTAGTTAGACAACGGTAGGTACCTAATTTATTTTAAATGATTATTATTCGTTAATGAATAAAGTTTTGATGGAAACGTGTACTATCGGAATATTATCGGTACTGTAGGAACAAATTTTAGTCATAACGAAGCTGTGGCTAAATAATTGTTTTCCGTCGAAACTTAAAAAAAAGAGAAAAAAAACTAATAATAATGACTTCGCAATAAAATGCTGAACAGGCTTTTCCTGTTCATTAATCGATCCAGACCCGATTGTACCGATGCAAGGGGGAAAACTATGAATATTGCCGTCTAACTGATGTAGATTATTAAAATTAATTTTTCCCATTTTTTTATTTAACATTTACAACTATATAAAATGTAAACTTAAAATTAATTAAGTACTTAATATTTTAAGTAAAACAAGAGAACTGTTTGTTTTTTTGGATGTTTATTTTTTGTAAATGTGTGCATCAATAAAATCAATATAGTTCAGCATACTTTATGCTAAACGTCTAAATAAGAAAGCTGTATACAAAAACATTCAGAATTTAAAGTATTTTATGAGATACTGCGTGATAATTTATGGAAGTTGTGTTAATTATTTAGTAAATTTTATCTTTAATAAAAAAATTATCAAATTTAAAAGAAATATTTTTTTTCTCGAAACCGTTCAAAATGGTATAGAAGCATAGCCAGGGAATTTAAGAGATCTATTGATGTATTTTGCATAATGTATGCATACTATTTAAAGATTTGAATGTTATCAGATATGTTTTACGTATAAAAACGATTTAACTAGGTAGGTGATACACTAGTTTAAAAAGTAAACTCAAAAAAGAATATACGAAAATAATATAATTACTGTATTTAATTAAAATTCTTACAGGAAGATACAGCTATCAGCTTTGGATGTATGTTCTGCAGTCTTTGGAAATAACGCGTTCAGACAAACGAGAACGACTTTTTTCATTCATTTAACTTTCATATGATAAAAAAAATCCCCGGAAATGATAATAATTATGTCAACGGTTCATATCTTCTGAAAATTACACGCCACTAAAATCAAAAACCGCGACGGTTTAGCGGTGCTATCGCAAACTAAACAACATAATAGGCTGCGATAATGTGAGCGTGATATAATTTATCTCTTTTTGATTCAATCTTTGTGTTCTCTGCTCAACAAACATTCAATTTCAAAACTCGACCGAATTTGATTCCGTTGCCAATCCATATTATCTTAGTACGTGATTGCAATTCAAAATTTTAAGATACCACGACATCGCTTGTAATTTGTATAGAAACGTTATCCCTATCAAGATAGCAGCTAGTACTGTTTATCTATCTCACTGATGCTTCTATTGTTACCAAACCATAGAATACGTCTCAATGTACTAAACCATTATTCTGTGTCTCTAAAAAGTTACAACGCTGTCAAACATTCACCAGAATTGTTAAATAACACGCCTTATTACGCATATTGAAGCTTACTCATTTTTACCCAGGACACCGACCTCTTCTGAATTGAATTCAGTCAATTTTTTTCAACGAACTTGAACGCTATTTTTTTTTCAAAATATAAACTTGACCACGAATGCGTTCATGATTTTAGTGAACGTTTCAAACACTTATATTCTATAATACCTACCTATATTATAGTATATACTTGCAAGATAGGTACACAAAGATATAATATTATATTCTCCTTCCATTATTAAGTTTTTTTTTTTTTCCTATCAATTTTTGTTTAAAGTATGAAATTAAAATGTATATTGATGAAAATACTTTCCTAATTTTTTTTCCTAACATTTAACCCCGTTCCCAACCCCCGGCAAATACAAAATCCAGACTACGCCACTGATATGATATAATTTGCGAACAGGGCAGTGTAGACGTTTCACAATGATAGATATTAATAAATTATTATAGAGTTTATTGATTTATAGGTAACCGGGTAGGTATATAATTATTTTCGAATCTCGACAGGTACACTACAGTTTATGAATTAATTATTATTGTCTCGGTTAACGTGAAAACAATCGACTCGCTAGTTGTAATGTATCGAATAATGCGATTATGAACCCTATACAATATTTATATCGTATATTTTAATATCTAGTTTTCGAAGCCAGTGCAAGCCCAGGTTAAGACGTTTAGGAACAATGTGAAAATCATAAAGAAAACTGCGAGGAAAATCAAAAAATAACCTTCTTAATATAGAATACACCAAATCAGAAAAAAAAGTTTTCAGAAATATGCTCTTACACAAAATTACAAAAAAAACACAATAAATAAATAAAACTGAACAAAATTTATAATATTATGGCTCAATATGACAATGTTTTAACAAGAGAAAAACAAAAAATAATTTATAAATTATACATCAAAAAGACACGAGTATTTTTAAAACAAATGAATGTGTGTTTATCAAAACTCCTGATATATAGCCTCCACTGAATCGTCGTCAGACATCGTATTCAGGTAACGAAAAAGATATTTATAAAGTAATAAAATAACAAAGTACAATTTCAATGATTAAACGCGCGGATAATGTATATAAAGCTTTGGCGAAAACTACGACCATCGGAGTCTCGTGGCCTTGACGAGACTTTTTTTTTCTTTTCGAATATTACCATACTTTTATTAGGTACTATGGTTGGAAAGAAAAAACGAAAAAGACAAACATACTTCGCACGATGGGTGGGCCAATGTTGTAGGTGAGAAGCTGGGAATGTTGAAGGGGAATTCAATGTATATGTGTACGCAACGATTAAAAATTGCTAAGGAATCTGAGCGGAGTTCGGTCAATAGTGTTGCTTTGTCAACAATATATATGTCGTCATAATATGGTGAAATAATGACATATGCGTTATACAGGGTGATTCACTAATTGTGCCCCATTTTTTCTTTCTTTTTTTTTATTAAATTTTGCATATACTCAAATTCTAAGTTTTTGAATTTTTAAATGTTGTTAAATCCGATATTTTCGAACACAGATTTTTTACGACATTTAATCCTGTGGCGACACCAACTTTGGTTTTTCAAATGATAATCTATATTACAAATTCCATAAATAAACGAAAAATTACTTTAAATACATTTTGGTGTCCACATTTTCGATATCCGTCAACCCGTTAACGTGATATTCCACTTTTAAGTTTTCATATATGGGGAGAAAAGTGGAGTACTAACAAAACGCTGCACGCCGAGCCACCACACAAACAATATTAACACTCCACGTTCTCCTCCTACTTAAACTTAAAAGTGGAATATCTCAATAACGGGTTGGCGGAAATCAGAAATGTTGACACCGAGTTTTATTTAAAATAAATAAACAAATAAAAATATTGAATAAATATCAGCTTTAACTATACTTAAAAACTCCAAGCATCAGAATTTGAATACATACAAAATTCAACCGAAAAAATTAGGTAGGCGAATCATCCTGTATATTTTCTGTAATAATATTTTTTTAACATCGTACCTATTTTCCTCCGTTTTTCCCTATTTATCGAGAAAATTAAAAAGCTACCTCTCTTAAGTACGCCCCTCCCCCCGATCAGAATTCCATTTTAGAAAAAAACGCTACACTCGGAGCAATCGCCCCGGTAGATCGTAAAAACTAATACGTTCCTCGCTCCGCCCAGGATCTAAAATGCAATATCCACCCCCCCTCCCCCACCCGGTACAACAACATGATTTCCGTACGGTGACGTGTGACACTTGACGCGCTGCAAGAGCAAAACGTTTAAACCCTGTGCGCGTACATAGAGTCCCGTACCCGCGACCCGATGACCACCGCAGACGACGACGACGGGGCCGGCGTCGCAAACTGCGCACAACAAACCGGCAGTGCATACGGCAGTTAATCAAACTTGCCCGCGCGAAAATGTATTCGTAAGCGTACGAGCGGCGAAACGACGACGTTTCATATACCGAAAATAAATCACGCGAACTACGTACCGCGTTATGGCGTAACGGCGGCGATACGCGGTGAACGTGCGCGCGCGCGCGCGCGCCCGAGTTAAATTGGAAAACGCCCTGTCGGGACGGAAATTTCCCGGCTCATTTTTACCTCGCGCGTACGCGTCGCGCGAGATTGTTTGAGTTATTTATCGTCGTTATCGGCTCTACATAACCGCGCGCGCGTGCAATATTCGCATACGAGCGACCGCCGCCGCCGCCGCCGGCCGTCCGTCCATCGCCGTTGCCGCCGCCGAGCCGCTGCCGATCATTCGTCCGCGAATCCCCCGCGGTCAAACGAATGCCCTAAATCGAACGAAAAGTTTACCGCCGCCGGGCGCCCCCGCCCGCTCCGGCGTATTGTATTATTTTTGCACTTTTTTCCATTACGGGAAAAGGTTTTCCCGTCGTCCGTTCATTTTTGACCGTTATGGGTGCACCGGCCGTAAGATTTATGGCCGAGGTTCGAAGACCGGCCGCCAGAGAGAACGGCGGCGGCGGAAGCACGCGGGGACGACGGATATCGAACACGCCTGCTGCTTCTACTGCTACCGCCGCTGCCGCTACTGCTGCTGCTGCTCCTGCCACCGCCGCTGTTGGCGTTGGTGGCGGTGGTGTACGATAGTGGTGGACGACAGTGGTGGGAGGGATAAAACAAAAAGACAAAAAAAAAAAAAAATTATTTATGAAACCGACTGTAAAGTCACTGCCAACGTTTTTCGCGTGTGATTTGTGTCGCGCACTGGTCGCAGGCACTTTATTTCGGAGGTTTTTTTTTCATTTTATTATTATTTATTTTATTTTTTTTTTTATATATATATATACGTACATATATACAACACGACCCCTTCGGTAGAAGAACGTAATGGTTTTTCCTGTCCGACAATAAAACATCAACGTATATACACTTCGATGTATAGAGTATTTTATCTTTCTAAAATCTATACACTATAATAGTTGGAACACTGTATAGAGAACCGCGTACAGTCGTGATAATCAACCGACAAAAATCAAGACGAGTCTCCGTTGAAAACATCAACAACAATCACGAAAACCCCGTGCCAAAAAAAACGACTCCGTTTTGTTTTTCGTGTAACCACGGCGACCCGGGGGAACCATGAACCGAAGATAAATACAAAATGTCCAAAAAGTATGATTGTGATAGTACAAGTATACAGTCATTGAAAGTTAAATATCCGACGTAATCTGTCGGTCTAAGACTAAAATTTCAGAGCGTGCCATATTATATAAATAAACCGGTGATATCGTCTTCGATTGCTAATTTTTCCCAATTACAACAAAAACAAAATTACGGGAAATGTTGTAAAAATCTTTGAAATTCGCGTTAATAAACAGAAAAATCAATAAACATATGCTTCTAGATTTAGTCCAAAATCTCGGACGTGTTCTTTTTTTTAGATTTTGAGCAGAAAGAGGCATATATCGGTTTTACAATGATGTTTTTTTTTTTTTTATGTGAACAATTTTTCTACAAGAATGCTTACTCCAATTATATTATTTAGCACTTTTTATGAAAGGAAATTTTGACTGGGTGGTACTTTAAAGAGGTAATCTTTTGAAATTCTCATTAATATTCGAGATAAATAGGAAAATCTGGTTTTTTAAGTTAAAAATGATTGAAAGATTAAAAATAAAGTTGTCATTAGCAACCGTTTTTATTTATTTTTTGTTATTATCAAGTTTGTATTATTTTAATCTTTTTTGAACAATCACTGTTGTCATGAAAACGCACATTGTTGAAAAAGCAATACTATAGACCGAGTTATATTAAAATAAGGTACATTTTAATTTTAATAATATGTTCTTTTAACTATTAATCTTTATATTATATTTCTTTATTTTATATACTTAAGTATGATTATCAACTGAACTCCGCTTAGCATTGTTTTTTTGTTAACAATGGTTTAAATTTTAATCAAATATACCAAACTCTAAAAAAAAAAAAAAAAAAATAAACGCTTCTTATACTTAAATGTTAAAACCTCCAAAAATTGTACTGAATAGGTAAAGCTAGGTTAGGTTAGATCAAGTTAATAGTACATTTGTTTGAAAACCAATGTTTATATAAACTTCTAATAGTTGAAGGTATATCAGAAAACAGTGGCGTATCAGCGATATTTGTTGAGGAGTTCTTAAGAAAATGATTTACAAAATATGCATACAAATAAAGGGAAGTTTTTAGGCCCTAACCTCTCTCAATACGCCGCTGTAAACAAAGTTATTAATAAATAAATATATTTATTAATATTTTTTATATAATTAACATATTTACTATATATTTATATAGGTATAAATTATAGTATATAGTTACGATTGAAAGTTTTTATATCACAGTTTTTCTCAAATCATAAATATTATTAATTTATAATTTTTATTTTTTTCTTAATACTCAGTATTTGTATAATATTTACTCGATAAAGTCTCGAGTTGAGTTAATTTTCAATTTTTAACAACCGTTATTTAAATATAATGTTCTCAGGCTTAGTTTTATAATGTATGTGTGTAATTCGTTTACATAATATTTCATACCTCTAATGTTATTTGAATAAAATCAATGCTTATCTAATTTTAGACTCTGAGTGTAATGAAAAAACTATTAGTGTCATTAATATATTATGTTGTTTTTTTCTCGAAATACGCTTTTTTTTTTTATTAGATTGGGTTAAATTAACTACTATTCATGTCGACCATCAAAAGGTGCGAAATTTTTGCGTGAGAATATTTCGTTAGAAAAACTTTTCTAAATCTTCGAAAATTTTCTGAAATATTAAAGAAAAAGCTTTCCTGGGATAATGGAGACTGATACAGCCACTGTCACACTGTTATAGGTGAGAATTTGGAAAGGTAGTAGAGGAGAAATATGTATATCTGTAAGCAGCGATAAGCCATTGCTGACAAAAAACGATTCTAAGTGAAGTTTGATTGATAGTGTTGTTTTGTTAACAATATATATGTCATGGTAAAATAATCATGTATGCATAAAATGATTTCTTTATAAATATTAGTTTAATGTTTTCCCGTTTTTCCTACAATTTTTCCCATTTACTGGGAAAACTCCTGGGAATATCAAAAAATAACCTCCATAAAGTACCTCCTCAGTCAGATTTTCTTTTAAAAAAAGTGCTATCATTAAAAATCAGAGCGAAATTGCTAGTAGAAAAGTTGTTTACAGAAGAAAAAAAATTTAAAAATAAACATAATTTTTTCAATTTTTTTTTTAATTTATTGGGTAAAAAATGCACATCTTCTTATGTACAGTAAAGCACACCACTGCCATACTGACAAAACTCAATACGGATCAAATATGCTAAAACGGATTTGTATTTACTTTTATTTTTTTCAATTCCAAAAAAAAAAAAAAAAAAAAGAGAAAAGAGATGATACTGAGAACGGGTGTATCCACTATTATTGATGAGAGGTAGGAAAGATAGGATACATAAAGTTACTTAATTTATATCTATACACAAAGATGAACTATTGCTAACAAAAAAACTATTCGGAACGAAGTTCGGTAAGTCATATTATAATGAAATTTCGTCATTTTTACGATTTTCGACAAAATTTGATCTTTGCTGCATTTATGAAAAAAAAACTAATATATCAACTCAAATTTTATTTTAGACCATTAAGTATAATTTATAATGTACCTTTTTGTTAAATTTTCAAGTCGTATAATTTTAATAAGATACTTACCAAATAAAAATGCACGTAAAAATACGAAAATATCAATTACTCATAAATAGCTTACAAACACAATGTTTTAAAAATATTACTATGTCTACGAAAGCCTCTAGAAAATGCGAATATGGATGGATGTTTTGTTAAAATTTTAAGTCTCAAGAATATGTTTAACTGAATAATATTAACAAAATAAAATTAAAAATAATAAAATAATTATATTCGTATATGTTCCTGTTCTTTCTTCGCATTTTTCGATTTTACTCGATAATTAAAAAAAAAACTACAAAAAAAATAAATCGAAAATCAATTTTTATGGTCACCATCTAGATTAAAAATCCAATAAAAAAGATCTGTAATGGTTTTTCTATTGAAGCAATTTTACTGGTAAAAAACGAAAAACGTAAAGATTCAAAATAATGAAATTTTACCGTTGTAAATTTGTTAGCTTTCATTTAGTGTTTCATTCCGGTTTTTCCTAATTATTACAAATACTACAAAAAAAAAAAAAAATCAAAAACTATTCTCTTACTCAGATTATAAATGCAACAAGATTTCTCCGAATCCAAAATGATACCGAATTATTAGGTTTTGTAAAAATACGTCGTGATAATATCAAACGGATTGATATTTCTCAAACCGAATAATAAATTTAATAACTCACAATAATTCAATTAAAAAACCGTTTAATTAATAAAATTTCTTTTTCAATATAATATTATTTAGATTTAAAGTTATTCAGTCTAATGCTTATACATATAGTATACTGACTTATTTGACCGAATGAATATAAACGAATTAATTTCACTCTGCTAAAAAAATTTATCGAATATTATTTCTACTACACCGAAAAAATGTTACGATATAAATACTGTAAACAGCTATAATAGTTTAATCTATCAAAATAAGTAAATCTCGTTTCATCGTGCAATTTATTTCAAATATATTTTTTTTTTAGTTTGTACCGATCGAATATTTAATACAAACTAATTCGTTCAAAGTGTTTTTCTTTATATTGTTTTGAAATTGCACACGGTAAAGTTTCGTTTAGAACAGTTGTTATAAAATCCTATCCTAATGGGCTTGGATGAGACGATTTGAAAAACTGTACAAGTATAATTGTAGGCAAACTGAGATTTGTATTGTGTACCTGCGTTTGCAGGTCTGGGAGGCGAGAGGGAACAGTGTTGTCGGTCACCGAGTAGAGACAATGTGAAAGTTTACGGGACGAAAAGTATACAAAAGTCCGGCGTTTAAAAGAACTTGGAAATCGAAAATACATCGCTCCCCGAAGAACTGTTAAATTTAAAAAAAACATTTATAAAGAAATAAAATGAATTCGTGTTCTATGCACCGAAACACAAATTAATAATTTATGTGTACCTAAATTATTATTGTTATTATTATTATTATTTTTTTTTTACGGAATTATAACAAAATCTGTTTCATAACTATAATGCGATAATCGCCACATCTTCTTTGTTATTTACTACAACGGTATCAATTTTTGATTTTTATACCGAAAATAGGCAGGTATTATAATATTATTATTGTTTAATTCCAGAAGAGAATATGGTTTCCTTTCAAACATTTCCACTGAACATGTCAATGTTATTTTGGAAAAAAACACAGGGAGGCAGAACAGTTTTCGTGTATCAGTGTATTTATATTATACATAAATAATCGGTCGCTAGTATCGGAACGGGAATAACCTAGCCCCTACACAATTCAACTATACCACGAATCTGTTGAAAATTTATTAGAGGTTGAATATCTAAGGGGGCCGAAAGGTGTAATGATTCCTTCACCGTTCGATTTCAAATTTACCCTAAGCCTCGCCCCCCCATTTTCTTGTCCTGGATTCGCCCCTGGTTTTCGGATACCAAAACTATTAAGATTGCGTCCGATCGTGAAACACGATTATAAAACTATCGCAACATTAATCCAATACAACTGGTGGCTTATTCCTAACATAAGTTACGCGGCAAACAAGCACGAAAATTACCGATAATAAATCGGAAAAATCGTTAAAATTGGACGCTGGATCCTATGGAAATTTAATCGGTAATACTATACATTTCGGCAACAATAAAATATTATCGAACTGAGTTTGGAATATAGAATATGATCATTTTAGCTGGCCGTTCGGAACAAAATGGTACGTACGATACTCGTCATTTTTGTACGAGGATCATCCGGAAAGTAAAGCCTGTTCGAGATTACAGATCATAGGGAAATTGCCGCGATTAAATTGATAGCGTTTCATTTTTAAAGCAATATCTCACAAAGTGAATGAACGGTACCGCAAATTAGTAGCGTCAAAATCAACCGAACAATCAAAAAAATTACCGCAGCTGCCCCTGCTGACAATACAAACTTTTAAATTTAAAAACAGAGGTCTCCGCCGAAAAAATCGACGATACTTTGAGCTGTAGCACCACATTCATTATTATCTTTCTTCGATGTAGTGCTACCAGCTCTATCGCTACAATTTGCCTCTGACCCATAATCGCGAACAGGCGTTACATGCCGGATAACCCTCGTGATAATAACTGCATAATAATATTATATTATATTCTCGAGGAACGAATGCGTACCGATAATCGTAAAATCCAAAAGGGAAACTCTACTATACTTTGTTGAAATATCTTTAAACGTTTAAAAGCAAAGTTCAAACTGGAAACGTCGCAACTTTTCAACGGGTACATTTTATTATCGTATAATATATACGATAATATATGGCTCGAGTATAAAACGACGGCGCCCGGCTATTAAACGGTTAATACTCCAAAACTTTGATATATTTTTGAAGATACGCTAAGACGGTATATGTAGGCAATGGCGTTCGTCTAAAACGTTATAGTACACTAAATCGCATACGTGTACCTAATTAACGTGTACGCGTTTCGTACGTATAAGCGCGCGCTGTACAACTTCAAACATTAGAGGTTACGATAATATTCCGCGGAACTTTCGTTTTGAAAATGTAAACAGACCGTTGTAAAATCGATATTATACGGTTTAGGATTCGTTATGATATTGTTTTCGCCGGGAAAAACTTTCGAGACAAAAGTATGAAAACAATTTATACTTACCTATAGTATGTATATAGGTATATTTTGTACTTGATGTTCCCTGTACGAACGACCCTCCAACGATCGTTTGAGCTCCGTAATTAAACGACAGAAACCTAAGGAGAAAAGAAAAAAAATGACGAGCGCGAGTTCGGTATTACGGATACGTTTAGTCCGCCATCGTAAGCATATGTACACGAGAAACTTTTGAAAATCCTGCAACATCCAGCCGATATCAGTGTCTGGGGGCACTTCCGAACACCACGTGAACACCGCACGTCACGTTAACCGAGGCACGATGTCAACGGACGATTTATATGCTGTTTGTGGTACTTTCACACTTTTCCCCTGTAGTTTTTCTCGGAAAAATTTTATTTTCTAAAATCATACGTGTGGTTTACACTTCGAAACGACCGAAGGCGACAATGTTCCGCTCGCGGGAAGACAGGATGTACAGGGTAATTTTAAACAGGGTTGGTAGTATACGCGTATAAAACGTTTTATTCGTTACACGTATAAATGTATAAAATGAATAAAATGTATACAACTTACACGACTAAGACATAAGGAATTACACATTTTTTTTTTTTTTAATTTATTATAATAGTGATAATAGTGTAATACTGTACATTTTAAATGTTAATAAGTATTTGAATGTATAAATTAATAGAATAATAAATTAACAAATCATATTAACTCGGTGAATTTTCTTAAATTTAGAAAAAAATAAAAACAAAACAATTTTTTGTTTGTAATTATAAATATTAATGTAGTTATTAATAAAGAATAAAGATGAACTTTAGTCTGAAGCAAGGGGCTTACTGGAATTTGGACTTAATTTTCGATAATTGTTCAAAACGTAGCCGAGCCAATGTAGCAGTGACGGATTCAGAAGAGGGCAACGGAGTAATTTGTTCCCCTAACATCGTAATAAAGTAGTATGTTTTAGTTTACAAGGTCTTTTAATTTACTATTTATTTTAGCACAATATTTGTACTTTTGCCACCTCCCAAAATTGAGCTCTAAATCCGCCCCTCCTATGTAGACATTTGTTTCATTATTCTTAAAGTCAAGGTAATTCGTTTTATTTCACCTATTATTTAGCCCTTCTTTTCGTATAAGTGCGTGTTTCGTGCACTTTTGTATTTTTCAAGCAGTATATGATGTTAAAAACGATTTTTCTAAAAAATTGGAGAAAAATTGATTCAAATGAAAATTACATATCGGAAGATATTTTCTCAAATTATAAAATTAATTTATACTACGTGATTCCCACGATTATTTGCGTTGTTATACGTGTTATTTGCGTAACGTGTATAACAATAACAGTCGATACGGAACTCAGTCAATTGATGTCAGTTCGAAAAATGTTGTCAAATAAAACCAGTAGGACACACCACCTCTGCGATATATAATTTTGCATAGTTAGAATAGGTTTAGAATTTTGTCTACGCGTAGCTATAAATATTTCTCTGGGTAGGCCAGACAAAAAAATACACGTTTTTGAATAGTATAGACTACTAAATAGGGCATGTTTGATTTTAAAATTGTGTTAGTTTTCGGATAAAAGTATGTAGGGCCAGGCTTAAGCTGGCTATGCCACTGTTAACACAATTCAATTTTTTAACTGTAATTTGATAATTATTAAATCATAAATACAATACTATTAAGAAAATTATTCTGTAAATAAAAAAAAAACAGACTCTCTCGCTCACTAACTGCATGTTTCCTTTCAAATAATTCCGGAGCGGGATTTTTGGTGGAAAACAAACATGGAAAATAATTAAATCGTTAATTAAAATAAAAAGATCAAATACTTATCTGTATGCCTACATAAAATAACATGTCCTGACTGAATGACTGATTCATCATCTCCTAGCCTAAACCGCTGGACAAATCAGACTGCCAAGATACAGATAGAAGATGCATATAGATATTAGGATGAAGGCTAAGAAAGGATTTTTGAAAGTTTAGCCCCTAAGCTGGTAAAATAGTTTTTGGTATGAATATCTAATCGTTTATTTATTTATTTTTGTTTATTAGTGGGTTACCTTGGTGACACGGATGACAATTTGGTTGTTACGGACAAAAATACTATTATTGTTATTGTTATTTACTCTATTATTTAGCAATAGCAAAGCGTTGCCGGGTCAGCTATAATATGTAATAAAATAAATAAAGCGTATAAGCCACGACTATTGCTGTACAACAACGTATAAATATATATATATATATTTTTTTTTATAACATGTTTCGGCTATAAGGATAACATCAGGGCCATCAGATAAAAAATTAATACGGAATAGTCCGAAAAATACAACGTAACAAGAGTAAATAGCATAATATAGATAGAAAACAAACGATTTTAAAACAATTGATAGACAATTAATAAAACTATTATAATTACCTGCACTCGTAGTTACAAATAATTATATCCATGTAACAAAAAAAGAGGACGAAGGAAAAGCAATTCGAAAAATTAAAAACGTTAAAATTAAAAAAAAGCGCGAAATCGTTAACGATGTAAATAATATTAGTCCAGTTATCCTATACAGTTTTTTTCTGATTTTAAGCAATTATCATGCCCTGCTTAAAAAATTCAAAACGCAACGAAGAAGATCTCTTGTCATTCAATCGGAGTAAGATTTCTTATAGGAAAAATTATTCAATTACAGGGGGGGAGGAGGGAAAAAAATAAAACTAATAGATAGGCTCGCTAAGCTTAGAATCTAAAAATAAGCGCAGATCGTAAAAAACCAATTACGATTACTATTATATTGCAATGTGTCTGATACGCATAATTTTTTTTTCTTTAGAAAGCGGTCAGAATTTATTATTTCCATAAAGTTTCTGCGAAAAATTGTTAGTATTAGAATACTATATAATAATTCCTTAAGTGCACTTTTTTCAAAAAATAATTTACGACACACTATCCTGATATATTATGTACCAGAGGGGTCGTCCCGCGAGGATTTATTATTTTAAAGTGGTAGGATAATAACGGTTTTTATATTACTCTTTTCTCAATTTGATATAGGTACGTATGGTAAATCTCCACATGTCACCCTGTATATATATATATACACCCGAAAATATTGAAAAAATAGTACGAAAAATAAATTACAACCGTAAACAAATGTGACTTTATTTTGCGAAATTATACGATTCATTAGATTATTAACAATGTGATATGAAAAAAGGACGGACATACATCGAACGTGGGTGCAGCCACTGGTGTGGGTGGGAATTTGGGAAGGTAGGTTGCAGACGGGAATTTATTTAATATATATCTGTAAGCAACGATAGACAATTGCTAATGAAAAAACGATTTTGAATGGAGTTTAATTGATAGTGTTGCTTTGTCAACAATATATATGTCATATTATGGTTAAATGATTACAACAATGTACTTTTCCATGACAACAATGATTGTTTGAAAAATATTAAAATAATAAAAAATTATGAATAAAAACGATTGCCAATGGCAATTTTATTTTTAATCTTTTAATTTTTTTTAACCTACAGAACCAGATTATCTTCATTACCCCAAATATTAATTAGAATTTCAAAAAACGACCTCTTTAAAGTACCACCCGTGAAATATTTTCTTTCAGAAAAAGTGCTATACTTGATAATCGGAGTAAGCTTTGTGGTAGAAAAAGTGTTTACATAAAAAAAAAAAAATAATAATAATAATATTAATATTTTAAATAATCATTGTAAAACCAATACATTCCTCGCTCCGCTCAAAATATAAAATTTCAAAAATATTTAAAATCGCCAATCATATACATTACAAAAATAACAAAACATACATTAAGTAATCGATAAACACCTTATTCGTATTTATTTATTTATCTGGTATCTCATAAAAAAAAACCCCAAAACGAAATACAAATACAACGTTATTGAGTTACTCTATCTCGCACAATCGCCGAAACAGGATAATGTTGAGACAGGTTATACCGAGTAGTATATGTTAACAAACGGTGTTATCATTTTTTTAATTTTCGAAAAAGATGAATAACGTAGCGGTCATAGATACGCCACGGCCTACGCGGAGATTTTAATGATTCTTTGGCTTTTTTTCGACACGTTTCAAAAACAAACGAACCGATTATTATCGAACCGCAGTCTACCGGTAGCGTGCTGAACATTTTTATACTTAAGGGGAAACAGAACAATTGGGATCCGCTCACCCGCCAAAGTATGGATTCATATAACAATTTTATGTTCGAAAATGTCGGTATTTAATTTTACGTTCCTATAAATAATTTTTTTTTTACAGCCAATACTTTTTTAGGTACATTAGCTACAAAATATGGACTGTCATATTCGTATGTAATTCACTAAACTAAGAAGGCAGCTTCTCTGATCTCCGCACCTAATCGACGTTCAAAATATGTAGTGACCCGCCCGCCCATCGATTTTAGTCATGAGGCAGTTACCTAAAAAAAAAAAACACAACATTTTGGCATTCCACTGCCGTTTACAATTCACTTTCGGCGTGCGTTAACGTTTATTTTGACGACGATCGTGCCGCCCGGGGATTTCCGTGCTGTTTCAACCGGTCACGGTCACGATGAAAACAATATTATCACAGAATAAAAATGTAAAAACTAGAAGACGTTTACCACGTAAATCTACATGGCCGATAGCATATTTGAGAGTGACGATAGAGGCATTCCCCCCCGCCTCCTCCCACGTGGTGATTTTCTTTCACTATATTACAGAAGCTGTAATCATAAGTTAATGTACATATTATTGTAATTTCTTCTGTGCGGAGTAAAACCGTTTTTGACATCAATACCTGCACGGTCTGCGTTATCACCGATGATCGATAAAATGTTCCATAATGTGTCATCAAATATGTTCCGACCGTTCTATGCTAATAGTTTATATTTTTACTGTACTTTACTACCGCGTTTGTTAACGGTAAAAAATCGGAAAAAAAACTTATATTATTGTTGCGGACTCCAAGGATGTACTTTATGTAGGATGTATTTTATCACGTCATTGACGATATTTACACGGTACCTACATTCAATTTTCTAATTAAAAAGTACCTATTATTTTATTAGTTTAAATCAAAGTGGAATAAAAAGGTGTTATCACTTCACCACTTCACACATACTTATAATTATAAAATTTAATGTACTATGCAATATCGTCAATAGCAAGATAAAATGGTAAAGCTAATATTTGATTAAATATATATGGCTACATTATGAATCAAAAAACACGTCATTATAACATTAGTAGATTGTTTTGACACAGGTTTGACTTGTTGGAATAAAGTTGAGGGGCCAAAACATTGAAATCTCGTCCTAGCCAGGCAACCTACTCGCAAATTCTGAAAATGGACTTGCAAACTCTTGCAAACTACAGGGAATGTTTTGACACTGGTTTGGACTTCCTACAATAAAGTTAAGGCAATGCATGAAGTCCTCAAAGTGAAAATCTCAGATTACCGCTATAATTTGCACTTGCAAATTATAAAAATTAACTTGCAAATTTTCGCGAACTACTTAAAAAAGGGGGGCATAGTTTTCGATAACTTTGAATTAAGTTGAGGGGCTAACTTCACAGACGTGATTCTTACTGAGGAATATCGTAATACAATATTTTCTTCTTAGCGGTTTATTCCGTAATCGCTGTACAGTAATTTCGTTCCTATAAACACACACAATGCCAACTGAATAATCAGATAATTTCTCCGCCCTTCTTTCTTCATTGCCCTAGCAGTTTTTCGAACGACAACTAGTTTGGATGCAAACATCCTCGGGGTTCGCAATAATAATATAAGTGTTTTTTTTACCGTCGGCAAACGTGGAAGCAAAGTATAGTAAAAAATATAAACTATTAACACAGAACTGTTGGAACACATTTGATGACACGTCCTATTTGATGACAATTATTTCAAGGTTTCAAAGTTTAATGTTCTATTTAATCCGAACTTTTTACTTTATAAAAACAAAAAAATATCTGTTACGTTTTGAAACTAAAAACGTGTTTTTCTCGGATTGGGAAAAATGTGACTTTTCTGGTTTTCTGCCATTCATAAACAAATAGTATAATACGCTATCAAACTACAATTATTCCTGTTACATTGAAATCTGTTTTATTGGCCCGAATCGGACGCGGTGGTCTAGACAAAGTAGGCCCCAGACGGCGTATCGGATCAGTCCGGCCCTGATACCGCGGTCGATTCTTATCAGTTTCCAGACGCGCGGCAATATTATTATTCGGACGTCGACGCGGATCGGTCTGCCGGGTGGTGCGCGCGGACCTCTGGAGACGCGTTCGGTGAGGGCCGTCCGCATAATAAACCCGACCGTATAATCTCGCCGCGCTAACCGCGATCATAACCGCCCGTCCCCCGGGACGATACCGGTGAACCGGGCGCGCGCGGCGGACACGGCCGGTAACTCTACGTACGAGACACTCGACAGATTCCCGGACCTCTGCGGCCGCTGTTCGTTTTCCCGAGAATCGCGGCCGAGTTTTAATCAGAATAACCGTAATCCGGTAAACCGCCGCCGCCGTCTTGTCCGGGCCCGGATTGAGAGGGTGGGCGAAGATCACCGGGTCCGCGCGTATCATAGGCCCGTCGTAGTTATGTGAAAAATCGTTTGTTGTGGAAAAGTTTACAAGAGACTCAGCGTCGGCAACAAAGGGCCCAGGAGAGATTCTAGGGACTCGACCTAAGTAAAAGCAAAACAATAAAAAAAAAAAAAGTTCTAATATTTGAATCGTTGTAACAACACGCATAGATTATTACGTTAATCGTATTATTATAATGTGCATGTGTACTATTTGGAGTGTAATGAACAAAAAAAAAAAAGCTCGGGGGGCCTAGACAGCGATGACTGCCTACAGCGACCATGACCAGGCCGACACTGAAGACACCGCACAGACGAAAAGGACCCGTAGAGTTTTCGAGTTTTTCAGGTTCACCTCAATCGTATAGCGTCGATATTAAAATCACAATAATAATGCAATTATCCGGACGCTGATAAGAACGAAAAGTTTCCGCGTCCGTCGTCAAAATTATCAAATACGCGACATTGCAGATGGCAACGACGATAAAGTCGTGGCTAATAGTTCGACGTCCATTATATTGTGGTTCGTTGCGCGATAAAACGCGGGGACGGCCGCCGAATTTGTTGTTTACGCGAAGTGTTTGATTCAATCTGTTCGGTTGACACGATGTGGACATATGGGAGTCTTTCGGATTATCGATATGCGACAATATGTAATTTTTAGATTTTTTTTTAAACCGAACTCTATTTATTGTTCTTTACATCTCGAAAAAGAGAAATTGATATTTTACGGGCAATTTACAACATTCAAACGAAAATCCATATTTAAACGCAGTGTATGTGATACGAAGTTTTAGTCGAAATAAATTTCGAAGTTTCGTCTGATTGAAAAATCTCCGCGGGAAAATTTGTGCGAAAAATAATACTGCAGTTTTCTCGTTTTCGACATTATATAAAAAATGTTGAAAATATAGGTACCGAAATCATCGATATTAATTTCGATACCCGATTATTAATGTTTTCGCCTAACTGAATTCCGTTGTAGCGCCGGCCGCGATCAACGAGTCCGAATATAGGGGTGGGGGCGCAAGTCCAGGGGTGCTGACGAAAATACGCCCGGATACAAAATCTCGCCTAAAATTCACCTCATCTTAAAAGATAGCGAAACCACAGTTAAGTACCGATGGTCGAGAAAAAAAATGTAACGGCCATACACGCCTCGCGCCCCCCCTTCCGCCGCAGAAGTTATTTTTCCCGTCTACGACCTCGACGACCCCCGAAACATTTACATTCATCTACGCGGGATAAAACGGCACATTATAAGAGGCCCGAAAACAGACTTAATGTACACATCCGATCAATAATGACATATTATATCGCATAATACTCGTGAGAATTTAAACTCGAGACGTTCGTCGATTTATAAGTATAATTCTTATCAAAAATAATTTTGTTATGGACTGACCTGTTTTATCCGCTGTGTACACCAGCACCATCAGCACGCAGGATAGCATCAGCATTTCGGTGACGGTCGTTGAACGGCACTAAAAACGACACAAGAACGAAAAGCGAAAAAATAAAAAAAACACACTCTTTCCCGCCGCCGGACGAAAATATTATTACGCGTGTATACACAGTGACGAACAGTAAAATAATTAGTCTCGCGATTCGGACATTTTCGTAAGCCGAATTATCGTTTTTTTTTTTTTTTTTTTTTTTTTTTTTTATTTATTTTCGTGGCGGGAAAACGGACGGCTATTTTAAACGTATCGCACGGAACGCCAGTGCGAAAACGCGACGCACACGGAACTCATGTCGCGCGAACGCGATTTTCTTCGGGATTTTTCCCCTCGATTATAAATTGGAGGGGGGGAGAGAGAGAAACCAAAACGATAACGTCGCACGGCTACCCGGTCGTCACAGCAGTTGGCGCAGTGGCGTGTACTACGGGCGAAACGGTCACATGCGGAAAACGGTCGGCTGACCGAAACGCGTGTGGTTGGCGCGCGAACCGCGTACGGAAGAAACGGAGACGGCGATGACGGCGGTGGTGGCGGCGGCAGCGGCGGTAGCGGCTATCGGTCGGACGGTCGCGAGCGAACTGAACGCGGTCGGTCGCGGTGTCGCCGACGACGACGACGGAGGCGATTCCTTCCCCCACTCCCGTTTTTCCGCCGTCCATGATGGGCCGCGCTACGATCGCGCCGTCCCGCCGGGACATCGTCGTCGTCGTCTTCGATGTATCGATGCCGGCCGCGCGTTAAGATGCGACAATGTCACACACACACACACACACCCGATTGCGCACATAATAATAATCGGCAAATATTTTATTTTATTTTATCGATAGCCACGCGAAAAATACATTCCGAAACGCTTTCGAATAAATTCAAAAGCTGCGATCGAATTTTCGGACCGACGCGACGCGTAAACCGGACGGAACCATGAGCGGTTGTCCGGATTTTTGCGGGTTTCGTACGATTCGCAGATTGTCTTTTTACTTTTCGACGACTCCACCTCGGTGTCAACGCGTCTTTCTGCCGATACCCGTTTAAGGAAATGGGATACGGACGGTCAGCTGGCGGAGTCGGTGGCGCAATTTGCTCGTAAACTTTGGGCCTCGCTATAATATATTAAATACACGTGATTGACGGGGCTTCACCTCTACGTAACGGGGGCTTCAGACGATCCGAGCAGCGAATTCCTTATCCCATCCCCCCCTCCACTCACCTAATTTCACTACGGCGCGAAATTCATCCACCACCGATCGCCCGTTTTTAATTTTGAAAACCCGAATATTCGAATTTTTCGTTCACGTTTTATAGGAAACTGTTGTTAGGTTTTTTTTTTATTTTCATTAAATTAATTTAATTAAAGTGCACGGTACGTTTGTATTTTATTCTTGAAATAAACTCATATTTAACAAGTGTTAAAAAAAAAAAATATGTAGCACGAGAAAAGTCGATTCGCGTAAAACGGTTTTAAATCAACTTTGAACTTTGAACTGAATTCATCAGCGAACGAGGAAAGAATATTCCAATATTGCCTAATAACAATTTGTGACAATAAAATACGCTAGATTTACAAATTACCAAAGTGTGAAAATCGTCAGCCATTGTTATAGCAACTTTATAGTGCACAACCCGTTAAAAAAGTATTATTCTGTTTCGAAATGATTAATAAATAATCATAATCAAAAGATTCCGGCTCAAGACGAGGGCTGAAAGCTGGACTCGGGTAAACACTTAAGTTACATCCCTTCTCCCTAAATTCGACGCCACCCGTGCACCGGTCTTGAACAATGTTTCCCGCGTGCAAAACAGAAAAACGAAAATCCCGAGATTTCCTTCCCTCTGACCTCCCGACACGGTTTTGCATAACAAATCGAGGGTTATTTTTCTGAGCAAGTTCGCGATAAGAGCTCACGAATACCAAGCTGGAGCAAAAATGAAATATTTCAGGTTGTGTTACATGTGTTTTAGATTCTGAGTGGAATGACGAACGTATAAGTTTTACAATGATGTTTTTTTTTTTTTATTTTGCTCCGATTTATAATGATAGCACACTCTTTTAAAAGAGAATACGATTGGGTTGGTACTTTAAAAGAAGTAATATTTTGATTTAGGGAAAAAACGTGAAAATAAATTCAATATTAAAAAAGCTGTCCTAAGATAATGGGGACGGATGCAGACACTGTTGTTATTAAGAAGTTGAGAAGGTAGGGTATAGAGGGGAAATTTATTGTATAGCCGTAAACAACAATAAACCATTGCTTACTAAAAGTACGATTCTGAACGGAGTTATAGTGATGATATATCATCAATATATGTCATATTAATACATCATGGTGAAATATTTAAATAGGCAGTACCTATATATTTTTTTTAATATTATTTGTGGTACTTCACCGCTTCCCCTACTTATCCGGTAGCAGAAAGTTCCCAGTTCTAAAAGGGGAAGTGAATTTCAAATCCTCAAAGGTCATAAGGTTCAACTACACCCGTCAGTATATTGATGCGAACGTATTACTCTCATCAATACGAACAATTTACAAATTTCGGTGGTTTTAATTTTAAAAACAAACGGACATGCTTCGCACTATGGGTCCCCCACTTTTGTAAGTCAGAAGTTGGGAAGTCAGAGGAGTAATTTAATGTATTTCTGTACGCGACGATTAATCATTAACAACTAACCACGATTCTGAGCGAAGTTAGGTTAAACGTGTTTTAAAAGACCGTAATATTTACGATTTTAAAAATAATACGTTTCGTGAGTTTTCCCGTTTTTTCCATTTATTATGAATACTCCCGGGAAAAACAAAAAACAGATTTCTTTTAAGAAAACGTGCTTTTTTTGAATATCCGTGGGCAATTTCTGCTAGAAAAGTTGTTCGCAGATACAAAAAAATAAACAAATAAATATCATTGTAAAACCAATACATTCCTCGCTCAGCTTAGAATCTAAAAAAAGTGACACAAACCACAAGGAAGGGGGGCGTTCATACGCCTATCACCTTCCTCTCTGGATTAAACTAAATGGGTGGTCAAAAATAAACAAAAACATATATTATTTCGCAGGAAAAAAGTATTAAATAATGTATACCGAAAAAATGTAACGTATTGTAAATACGCAGGTGTACGTGATAATCCGGCCTAGTCAAATCTCTGGTTTGAATGCGACTAGATCGATTAGGTACATATTAATTGTTTGCACTGTTTTGCATACAATAGTTTACTCTAAAGTTTTACTATTTGTGTATTAGTACTATTATAAATTCTGAAAACATGTAATTTTTATGATAACCATTAATTTACACAGGGATATTGAATGTTTGGGTTGCCTATGTTGTATATTTTCAACTTATAATATACACGGACAAAGCTATGTGAAGCAACTAGTTTACAATATAATACTACAAAGCTTTTCTGACGCAGCTGGTATTTTGTTTTTATTTTTAAATAAAAATAATTTCTTTTAGGTTCTGAACGAAGCGAGGATTTTGGTTCGTTGGTTTTACAATGATATTTTTATTTTTTTTTCTATCAAAAATCTTGCACAAATTTTTAAGTGTAACACTTTTTTTGAAAGAAAAATTTATCTGGGTGGTACTTAAAGAAAATAATTTTTTGGTGCGTTTTTCATAATAATTGGGAAAAAAACGGGGAAAAACGTAGGAAGAAAGGGAAAATTTACGAAATTTAATATTTTGAATTTTGTTTTTTTGTCGTGATTAACTTTTATTTGCCTTTTCTAGACTTAGGTTACACATGTTTTTAACAATTGTAATATTTAAATCTATTTAATAGCAATTAATAGACATTTTAATTTAGTGAATTTTGTTAAGTTATACTTATTTGGTAGGTACCTACTCTCTGGATAAAATATTTAAAAACATTAATTACCAAACAGTAATACTTGAAAATTTAACAGGAAGTTCATTATAAATCGTACTTTGTGATAAAAATAAAATAATAATAATTTAATATAATATAGATTTTTAATATCAAATGTTGACGAAAATCGTAAATATTACGGCCTTTCAAAACATATACAAAATGTCCTAAAGTGTTATCCTTATGCTAATAACTCTGTCAATATTCATTTTTTTTTTTTCAATATAGTTTTGTGCGAGGGGTACACATAATATGTATAGAAAAAATTTAATTTGCATTTTTATCCCTTAACCACTGATAAATAAATAAATTAGTATTCAATAGAAGATAAAGAATTACCGTGCTAATTGTGATTCTTTATCACGTAACGTATTATTCTATTGAATATAAATTATTTTTACGCCAATTTTCAAGAAATTAAAATGGCTATTACTAAGAAACTATTGATCGGACATAAATTTATGTTACATTAAAATGTTTAGAGTAATATATTATCTCCGCTCAGAATCGTTTTTCATTAGCAATGATTAACCTTTACACACAGATATACATTAAATTACCCCCTGTATCCTGCCTTCCCAATTTCTCACCTAAAACAACGGCCCACATATCGTGCAAAATATGTCAGACTTTTTTTTTTGCTTGAATTTCGCTGGATTTTATATGTTTTTATTTCTCTTTTGTTAGTTTTAAAATTCCAATAATTCCATTCATCCCCGAAAAATGTTCCACTTCACCCACACGTACTCGCGACACACTGAAGTTTTTATTTTTTTTATATTATTACAATTTATATTTATATACTAACTCGTTCAGTTATTATTTCTTTGTGGAACCATATGGAAATTAACTAAAAATGATAATATTACTATCATTGGCTACGATAATATTATTATAATTCTTTTTTTCTTTTTTAAAGCAGTGCACTATATACATTGCACGAGTAAAAACTATCGTATAGCAAATGTGTAATTAATCTGTTTGATGCCTGTGATACAATAAATTCTGAACGTCTTACGACATATCTTATTTAACATTTTTGCCTGGCTTCTTGTCTGTCATATGCAGGGCTTCTGGCTTAGGATTGTTAGTAGTTATTAAATATGATAACCAACATTTAATATGTTAAAAAAGAAAAAAACCCTATGTACTTTAATATTTTAAACCACAGCATATTACAATATATTGTAATGTAGGTATATATATAAAACCATATACAGTATGTACACATTTACCAGTATAAAGATTTCAATGAATAATATTTTGCGCACAATTAAAAATATTTAGTTTGTATAGATTATACGGGGCAATGAACATATCGTATTACCTATTTATAATACGATGAAACTGTTATTGCGTATATTTTCCCGATTTTCCTGCAGTGTTCCCCAATTATTAAGAAAACTACAAGGAAAATCATTTCCCCAATGCAACCAACTATAACAAATTTGATATCGGAAACAACCGCTAAATCATCAAGATCAGACCAAAATTGTTGGTAAACAAGTTGTTAAAAGACGTTTAAATAAACGCAAACAAATACCAATTAAATTAAAACCATTTAATTACGTTCTAAATTCTAAAACGGGAGAAATTAGTTTTAAAAATACTGACTGCAGTTTATTTTCTTGGTATTATATTTTCCATCTAAAACATAGTTCAATTACAATTTTTTTTATCGTGTTAAAGTTTT